GGCTTATGATTTCTATTAAGATGGATATGTTGATGGAGGCATATGAGAAGTGTGGCCCAGAGGCATTTTGGGGAGAACTACGTGCAAGAGTTGATGAGAAGGCGAAGGAGATGCCTCAGGACATCCAGTGGCATATGATAGGTAGTGTTGTTGCTCTCGTTCAGTAGAATATCACCATCTGCAGTGGTGAAGTGGATGCAATCCATCTTGGTAGATCGTAGGAGTATCTGATGTAGGGATAGGCATCTTTATAATTACGTTTACGATACGGAAAGCGAAAACGTTTTTACGTATTACGGATGACTATCAGATTCAGATGGTCAGCTGGATATTTTTGTATATGATCGTATCAGTGATGGGAACTTGTATAGGAGACAAAGCTCCTCGGGAAAGTCAATTTCTGTTACTACTTGTGCAGCTCACGATGATCGTGTATCGGCATTCAGGGCATCTGCAGAGGAATAAAGTGGCCCCGTTGTTGAAGGCGGTCCCGCACTTATATGCAGTGGAGAGTGTCGACTCGATCAAGCTGGCTGACAAGCTCAACGCTGCCGCTGCCACGGCGATGGACGAGGGTTTGAGGAGCGACCCTCTCAATGTACAGCTGTAATTTTGTGGCGCGTGACGGTGGCCTGTCAGGTGTTCATCGAGGTGATGACATCCGATGAGATCACGAAAACTGGTATAGAGAAGGATGAGGATATCGATGCTCTAGCTGAGCACATCGCTACTCACTGTCAAGGGCTTAAACTGTAAGGAGGGCCCTGCCCATGAGGGTAAGACTGGTCGTCTTAGGTTTGGGCTGATGACGGTAGCCAATCCTGACCTTGCAGTTGCCAGGGAGAACTTCGAGCGACTGGCGGCTATTGGGGAGAGGGTATATGCGCATGCGTGCAAATTGATGATATCGAACGTATGTTCAGCTCGAGAAGAATCTTTCTCTGTCGTACAAGTTGGAGTTATCGATGGGCATGACACACGATATGCCAATAGCAATAGAATGTGGAAGTAGGAA